TGAAAGACTCCAGAAATGCCAAAGTACCACATTCTTCCATTATTGCCATGTATTTCAAAATTGCTCTAAAGGATGCTTTGCCTTCGGCTTTAGTTAAGAATTTGAAGCTTCTTCTCACCTGGTTAAAGCTTCTATGCCATACAATTTGATTGTCATTAAGAGTTAATTCTCTGCCTGGTGGAGCCTGAGGTTCCAAGGTTCCAACCTTGACTCGAGCAAAGGAATTATTGGGGAAAGTGATCCAGTTAACAACATCAAAACCGGTCAATAATTCTCCGTTTTCATCAAAACTAATAGGGTCTCCCATACTGTTGTTAAATACGATGCTTTTCAAGAAAGAGTGAAACTATATTTTTTAAAAAATGAAAAAATAACAGCAAGGCTTTGAAGTCACAACAACTGCGTAAAACTATTTTAAAGTGGACTATCCTACATTGAAAAATACAAAAATAGGGTATCATAGATAATACATAGTTCAAAATCATATATCTCTCTCAGCTCATACAGATTGGATTCATACAGTAAATGAGCATTATTGCTATAGATTTAGAATATAGGTTTCACTCTACCACTCTTTAACATGTTAGTCCCTTTTCTCAAAATACTGAATGCAGGTATTATCTTCAAGAAGGAGATGTAATTCAGGTTTTGAACAAGGACCGCCTCAAAGCTCTTTTACAAAGAAGGGCCTTATCAGTTTATGAGTGAAAATGAACAGTCGTGTTGATCTTAATGCTTCTCCTTTGCAACCACTCCTTGTCCTTCATTAAGATGTGCAAAACCCAACCTATTCTTCCTTTTGTAAATGGAGAAAGACTCCACCCTCAGCTGCTACTCATCTGTCACTTGGAAAGCTGGAAAAGCTTAAAAGAAGAGATTAGAAACAACTGGGATACTTAAGGAAGGCAGTGCAGGCTATATCTACAAGCAAATCACGAGGTCTCTTTTGACTTAGTGAAGACAGTTGCATGAACATCATATGTACCAGCCAAAGGATTAACCTCCCAGCTTCTCTGCTTCAAGGTCAATCTCTACAAGCCATGTTGAGTAGATCATATACCAGTTATACTAAGTGTTGTGACAAATATCTGTTCCAAGAATTTTCAGGGGCATGAGGGAAATTGACTCACAAAGATTGGTCTAATTATGAGACCTGCAGCTTAAGGGCTGCATAGAATCTTAATGTACCCTACAATGGACACTCAGATAGTGTTGCTGAAATTTCAGGACAAAGTGACCAATATTGATTGGCATGGAAGAGGCATCTACAGTGGCTAACACATCTAGAACCATAGAAGACAAGGTTTTTCTTTTTCTGCTTTCTGGACCCCCAAAATAGCACCTAAATAAGGCCTTATATATTACTCCCTTCCATTTTCAGAACATAACTGCATCATCAGCTTTATTCTTTAGGACTTTTGGAAGCCAAAACAAATGAATATCAAAACTACAGCTCTTAACAAAATCAACAATGGCTGACTTTGGATTAAGATTGTGGACCCAGTCAATTCTCTAAAATAGAGGACCACTTCCTCCTACACCACAAAAAAAGTTCACCACAATTAAAATACTTGTTATATTCTTTGATTTTTTTTCTTTCAATTGGTTAAGCAAAGTTACTGCTAATTTTATTACAGTGTTATGTAGCATCATTCCTAGCAGCATTCTTGGGAGTCAGAGACACATTCACTCCCAACTGAATGCACAGGTTTTATGTAATAGAAATAGAATAAGGTACCTGCCATGGCTTTAAATAATGAATTCCCAATCTCTCTGCATCCATTAATCTTCTACCTCTGGATCTGGACTTGAGTAAGACATGCAAGGAATGTGCCATGATATAGATTGCATTGTAGATGTTGCAGCTATGACCACTCATGTTCATTTCAAAAAATGTACTAGGCAGACTCTCTAACTTCTCATCCCCAGTGCACAATAATTGGTTATCTTCATTTACACCAGAAATGTGTAATGGGCAGTCAAAGGCCTGCTCCCAGAAATTCTCAATGAAATTGTCTTCTTTTGCCCAGGATGGCCTTACAGTATGAACAAATTCTTGGAATCCAGGTGGTTCTTTTGAGCGAACTGCGAATGAAAGGGCACCGTGTAAACTCTGTATATCCCAAAGCCTCTGAACGGACAATGAGTCAAAATTCCAATGGGATGTAACAATCCACACTTTACCCAGAGTGGGTAATGAAGTAAAACTTGCTATAAAGATGATCACTCTCAAATTTTGCGTGGATGGAGGTGCTCCGTATACAAAGCATACACGGACTTTTTGATCCATGAAAAGTTGTCCATGAAAAGTTGCCCTTTCCTCTAAAAGGAAGTGGATATATTCATCCATATAAGTCCTCTTTGGTGTTCTAAGTATGAAAGCATAACAAACGTTGTTTTGGGAAAGCAATGGTACAATTTTCTGTAAAAACACGTCTCCATAGTCATCATCCACAGCCAAGAGCCCAATCCATGTCCATCCAAAATGCTGAAGTAATTGGATAACTCCAGTATATTGATGGACTTCATTTGGAACCATCTGGTACAAAAATGGAAATACATTTTTGCCACCATGTACTGGGGAAAATGTTCCATAAGCAAGCTGAAAGGAAATATAGCAAATATTTAGAACCATTAAGAGAGAATACTAAATGGTATCCCTCTTCCTCATAAGTAAGTGAGAATATGGGCATTCAGGTGTTGCTGGAAAATATTCAATGACCGCACTTCCCTGCAACATTATATCAGTTACCAAGGTTGACTGCATCTTTCTATGTTTAACTGGTTTCTATGTGTTCATTTTAACTGACTGGGAAAACACTTGGAACATTACACTAGATCCAAAGCCAGGCATTTGTGATCTGCAAATGGGTCTTCTTCTTTGACCACCTGAAGGGAGTCAAGCAGCAGGTGGAAGAAATAGAGCATTTTCTATAATAACCCAACCTGTTTTGAACTCAGTGATAACAGATGTTTGATAATCTTCAATACTTTTGGACTAAAAGAGTCCTCTCTTTTTAAATATGTAATTATCCCTTTAGTTTATTCATATTTATATTTATTGAATGCACTGTAATCTTTAGTCCTAGATTGTCCCATGTCAAAGTTTTAACTCTGAAAACTGGCTTAAAAGTCCTTTAAGAATGGAAGGATTTAAAGAAAATTTGGATTTCTAGGGATCCATCTCAAGGGCCTACCTGTGGAATCTTGTAGTTGGCAAGAACAGTGGCCATGATGGATGAGGCTTCTGTCAAACGTCCTCCAATGGCAGCAATAAGCTTTCTCTTTGAATCACAGGTAAAGTTGGGAACAAACCTCTGGTGTGTAGAAAGTAGGCTCAAGGTCGCCTTATAGGTTATCCTTGCCATGAAGTAGTTGTTCAAAATGTGGAAACCCAACGTGATGTTTGGTAAGAGTTTGGGATCCTTGTTGATCTCTTTGGCAGCAAACACCAAAGCAAGGATTTGCTGATAGTCCTTTAGTACAGAACTACAATAAAAACTACCAACTTAATTAAATAAGATAAAAAGTGCTTTTTTATACTCCTATCCTTTTTTACATCTAGAGTAGTCTAAGATATAAAGCAGAAGGCCATGAAGTTGAAAGGAGACCAAGGAACCAGCCTTACCATTCCCTGAGAGACTAGAACCTCCAGCTGAAGCTGCTGAAAGCCAGAAGGTGTGAAGGAGACCCCAAAATATGCAATGTCCTCCACCCTCCAAATAGCCTATGGTCTTCAAAAGGGTTGCTACCTCTTGTCCCCTTGCTAGTGTTCGAGA